GAGTTGGAGAAGGAAATGAAAAACCACTCCAGTATCTTTGCCAAGAAAACCCCAAATGGAGTCATGGAGAGTCAGACATGACTGAGAAAACGACTGAACAACAACAAAATACTCTGTGCTAGGCATGGGGGTACAAAGACAAAAATAAACCAGTATTTGTCCTCAAGGGGGAAGGAGTGAGGAACAACATATACACATATTAATAAATACAAATAGAATATACTGAGGAGATCTGGGAAAGTTTCATATAGAAAGTGGTATCTGGGCTGATTTTTTTTTTTCAAATTTAACAATTTTTTTTAAATAATAAAAATTCATTTTCTCTCCCTCCCCAACTGAAAAAAAAATCCCTATAACAAATATGTGTTGTTAGGCAAAGCAAATTCCTGCTTTGGCCATGTCCAAAAATAGTACATCTCCTTCCGTATCTTGAGTCCAGCACCTTCTGTGTTAGGAGGTGAGCAGCATCCTGCATCACTGGTCCTCTGGCACCATTATATCAGGCTGGTCATCCCACTGATCAGAGTTTTTAAGGATGGTAAAGAGCTTCCAAGGATTCTTTTTTTTTTTTTTTTGGGTGAGGCAATTGGGGTTAAGTGACTTGCCCAAGGTCACACAGCTAGTGAGTATTATGCATCTGAGGCCGGATTTGAACTCAGGTCCTCCTACCTCCAGGGCCAATGCTCTATCCACTGCGTCACCGAGCTGCCCCCCAAGGATTCTAAGAAACAGAGGTGAGATTCTTTAAGTTTTTAAGGATTCTAAGAGACAATGATGAGGATATTTTCAGAGCTTTTAAGGATTCTAAGAGACAGAGATGAGTAAATACATGCAGGGATGTGTAAAAGCAAATACACTAGAGGGCAAGCAGAACCTACACGAAAGGGCCCAGGGGCCAGTTTGCCTGGAAAGTAGCATATGTGATGGAGAGTTATGTGTAAATAAGCCTGAAAAGAATAAATAGGGAAAGATGTATTTTTCAAAGCTGGACAGGCAGGCCAGAGCTAAAATGGAAAGGATGTTAAATGCCAAACACAAGCGTTTGTATTTTACCCTGGAGGTAAGACGGAGCCACTGAAGCCTCTTCTAGCCCCTCCTAAGTGTTTACAGATATTATCATATTTGATTACTCACAAAAACCCTGCAATGTAGCTGCTGTTATGATGTCCATTTTGCAGATAAGGAAACTGAGTCAAACAGAGGTTTAAGTGACTTACCCAGGGTCACACAGCTAGTAATCATCTGAGGCTGGATCTGAGCTCAGGTCTTCCTGACTCCAAGCCCATTGTTCTATCTACTGTGTCATCGGCTGCCTCCAGGCAAGTTACATGATCAGATTGGTGCTTTCGGAATATCACTTTGGTAGCTGTGTGGGGGATGGATTTGAACCCAGATTCATCTCTATCCACTGTATTATGCTACTCCCTTGGAGGTGCTGGGTGTTGAATAGCAACCCCCTAGGCCACTGTCTTACATCTTTTCTCCTCACTTTTGTTCAGGTGAGAGGAGTACTTCAAAACTAGTACCTTAACTGCTTCTGAGTTTGGAGTCACTGTGGCCCAGTGGAAAGTGCTGCATTTTGAGAAAGAGGGCCTGGGTTCCATTTTCAGCATTGATGCTACCTGTGTCATTCAGCCTTCATCAATGATATATGTTGAATTGATGACCAGATGAGAGCAAGGCCTTCTGGGAAGACTATACAGGTAATCATAGGCTCCAGGAGGGGAGGAATCCGTGGAGAAGGTGCAGAGGGACAAGAGGACAAGAAAACAAGATGTCACCTACTTTGTTCTTTTGCTCGTGGCTATTAAACACTTTTAAATTATCCTAGTCTGAAGCCTTTGACCTAATCTGAAAGAGAAAACTTATCAGTCTTTGGACATCTGTCGATTCAGAAACAGCATCCTGCTTCCCTCTCTCCAGACTGGCCTAGAAAGGACTTCACCCTGACATAATTAGGGCCTTCACCCGACAAAAGTAAGGGTCCTTAAATGAATCATTTAACAGAAGGAAGAGACCTTTATTTCCCTTAATGGGAATTATCTGCTGGTTCATCTTACCATGCAGAAGGAGAAAGCCTTAAAAGGAAAGGTCAAAGAGGGATTGAATGGTTTTAAGAAAATTATTCTCCAAGGGTATGTCAAAAGTTATACCTTATTGCTATTTCTCATGAAGCAAACTCTCAAGTGAACTTTTACCCTGAGTTCTGCAACTCAGGCAGCAAGGTGGTGAAGTGGAGTCAGAAGACTTGAGTCTAAATCTAGCCTCAGACACTTACTAGCTGGGTGACCCTGGGCAAGTCACCTAACCCTGTTTGCCTCAGTTCCCTCATCTGTAAAATGAGCTGGAGAAGGAAAAGGCAAACCACTCCAGTATCTTTGCCAAGAACATTTATTAGCTGTGCGACCTTGGACAAGTCACCTAACCCTGTTTGCCTCAGTTTCCTCATCTATAAAATGAGCTGGAGAAGGAAATGGCAAACCACTCTAGTATCTTTACCAAAAAAATCCCAAATGGGATCATGAAGAGTCAGATATAACTGAATAACAACAACTATAATTTATCTCATTGTGTAATTTATTCTGTTGGTTAAGGATAACAAATTATATCTTGTAAATAGCTTGTGACGGAGACTTTCAGAGCCATGGGGCATTTCTAACCGTCTTTGCACACAAGGTTGGCTGATAAAATACTTGTCAAACACAGGCAAATGAATGTGAGCCCAAATCCATTTCCTCAGTGAATTCCCTACCAGGACTGCCTGCCTTCAATTTCTCTTTTCTCCAATCCATCTATTGTTTCCCTGTTCAATAAATTCCAGTGACTTCCTATAGTCTCTCTCCACACCCCCACCCGGTCATCCCCATTCTTTTACTTATTTCCAATCTCTCCCTCTCTCCTGGCTCATTTCCTATTGCCTACCAACACGCCCATGTCTCCCTCAACCTAGAAAAACCCCACAGGATGCTTCCATCCCCTTTAACTCTCGTCCTATGTCTCTTCTGCCTTTTGTGGCTAAACTCCTCGAAAAGGCCATCTACACTAGGAGTCTCCATTTCTCCTCTTTCCACTCTCTCTTTTTTTTTTTAAAGCAGCAATATTAAACATATTCTTTATTGATGATAACACACTAAAATGTGAATAAGAGGCCTTTGAAGAAAGCATTCAAATTAAATGGAGACTAAGTAATTTAATTCTAAAGAATGGGTGGGTCAAAGAACACAGAAGCAGTAGATAATTCTATTAAAAAAATAATAATGAGACAACATACCAGAACTGTTGGGATTCCCACTCTCTTCTTAACTCTTCCCTTAAAATCTAGCTTCTGACCTTATCATTCATTCCACTGTCACTGCTCTCTCCAAAGTTACCGATGACCCCTTAGTTGCCAAATCCCATGGCCTTTTCTCTAACCTCACTCTCCCTGGTGTCTCTGAAGCCTTTGGCACTGCTGATCACTCTTTCCTCTTCACCATCGGGTTTCAGGGCATTAGTCTCCCCTGGTTTTCCTCCTCCCTCTCTGACCACTCCTTCTCTGTCTCCTTTGCTGGTTCCTCTTCCAGATCATACCCTCTAACTACAGGTGTCCCCCTGGGGTCTCTCCTGGGCCCACTTCTCTTTTCTTTTTATACTACTTTGCTTGGTGAGCTCATCATCTGCCATGGATTTAATTACCATCTCTACGCAGATGATTCTTAGTTCTACCTGTTCTGCCCCAATCTCTCCACTAAATGTGCACGTCCAACCGCCTTTCAGACATTTCCAACTGGCTGTCCAGTAGACATCACGAATCCGACACATCCAAGACTGAACTCATTAGCTTTCCCCCAAACTGTCTTCCTACCCCCACCCCCACGTTCCCTATTACTATGGAGGGCAACATCATCCTCCCAACTCCTCAGGGTCACAACCTAGGAGTCATCCTGCATTCCCGCACATCTCTTACCCCCCCCCATGTCCAATATGGCTCCAAGGCCTGTTGATTTCACCTTTGCAGCCTCTGTCTCTCCCCTGAACGGTGGTTGCATCTCTGGTGCCAAGGATGATCACCTCATGTGTAGATTATTGCAATAGGCCGATGGTGGGTCTGTCTCCTCCAGGGCTTTCCCCACCCTAATCCATCCTCCATTCAGCCACCAAAGTGATTTTCCTAAAGCACAGGTCTGACCTTGTAGTCTCCCAAATCACACTCCTAGGCTTTCTATTGCCTCCAGGAACAAATACAAAATGCTCTGTTGGGCATTCAGAGCCCTTCATAACCTGCCCCTCTCCTACACACACACCTTAGCGCCAGACTCTATCCAGTCTTCTGGCCTCCTGGCTGTTCCATGAACAAGACACGCCATCTCTCAGCGCCGGGCAATCCCTCTGGCCGTCTTCCATGGCTGGAATACCCTGTCCTCTCCACTCTGACTACTGGTCCCCTCAAGTCCCAACTAAAATCCCACCTTCTACAGGAAGCCTTCCCACCCCCTCTTAGCTCCTATTTCTCCCGTATATAGCCTGCTTTGTTTGCATGTTGTCTCTCCATTAGACTGTAAGTTCCTTGAGGGCAGGGACAGTCTTTTGCCTCTTTTTGTATCCCCAAGGCTGGGGGATAGGCGCGGCACACAGTAGGCACTTAATACATGTTTGATTAACAATCCACAGTCTGTCTAAAGGTGGGAGGGGCTGCCTTGAGAGGCAGGGGCTCCCCGGTTAGGGGGGCCCTCGGGGGCCGGCCAGATGTGCGGGGGACCACTAGGCAGCTCTTTGTAGAGAGCATCTCGTGAGCCTGGCTGGCCCCAGCTCAGACCGCGTGGGCATGTGGGCGATCTCCAGCTGGGATCGCTGCTCCCCCTGGTGGCCAGAGGAGGCATTTCCTGCGGGCCACAGGCTCCCCGCGCCAGCTGCTGCCCTTAACCAAGATGGCCCACCCAGAGTCCATGTGGCTCTCCTACTCCCCTTCTCCTCCCACCGTGGCTCCTCCTCCTCCACCCCAGGCAGATAAGGAAGCCGGATGCTGGGCTGAATGCAAGTAGCGGGAGCCATGGTCGGGGCGCTCTGGGTGACCGGGGCAGCTGCCCTGTGGGCTGCTCTCTGCGGCCGGGCACTGGCCCTGGAGGGAGGGATGCTCTACCCCCAGGAGACCCCGAGCCGGGAGCGCAAGGACCTCAACGGCCTCTGGGACTTCCGAGCTGACTTCTCTGAGGACAGGAACCAGGGCTTTCGGGAGCGGTGGTATCAGAGACCCCTGCGGGAGGTGACCCCTCGTCCGACCCCCGGGGACCCCGGGGGAGGCTCAGGGTGGCTGGGGCAGAAGGGGAGGGGGCGGGCAGGCACCTGGGATGCCAGGGAGAATCCCACCAGCCATGCTCCTTCTCCTCTGCCCCTCCTGCAAGATGCCAGCCCTTAGGAAAGCCTGGGGCTGACTCCCATCTGTGAAAAAGGCACCGAACCGGGCTCTGCCCAGGGCTGCCCCTCTCTAAAATGAGGATATTGGACCAGCTGGGCTCAGGCCCCTTCCAGCTCCAAACAGAATATTCCAAGACCCTTGCCCTGGTGTAGCTTCTAATCGGAATGGCTGTTTTCATTTTCCTTTAAATTTGGGAAGCTCGGTGTCACTCAGAGCGTGGAATCCCAGAGCTTGAGCTGGAATCTAGCCCAGCTCCGACCATCTGTGAGACCTTAAACAAATCGCTGAACCTGGCTTCCTCCTCTATAAAATTAGGGAATTGAACTAGATGGTATCAGAAGTACCTTTTACCTCCAGATCTCTGATTCTGTGACCCCTGTCTTTCAGGGGAAGGTTGAGGACTGCCCAGGGAAGGGTGGATCAGTTTGCCATTGTTTCCCATCGGGTAGAGCCCAAAAGCTCTGGACCCCTGTGGGAAGAATGGGAAGAGCCCCCCTCACTGGGTTGGCACCTGGCTTGCTAGGAGCGGAGTGCCCCTTGCTGACTGACTGGCCCTTTCTCCAGATCTGCTCCCTCACCATCCCCCATCCCAGCGTCCATCCTCTAGCAGCGTGACCCACGGAAAGAGGCCTTGGTGCCTAAAGATACCTGGTTCCAACTCTGCCACTACTTCCTGGGTCTCAGTTTCCCCCTCTTTAAAATGGTCTTAGTTATCTCTAAGCCTTAGAGACTTGAATTATGAGGGCGGGGTGCTTGGAGGAGGCAGATGACAGAGAAGAAGGAAGAAAGAAAAGGGAAGTGGGATAAGGGAGAGAGCACGAGAGTACGGGCAAATATGGGGTGAAAGTGGAGGGGGCTGAGGAACCCAGAAAAAGTAGAGGGGCTGGCCTTTGGGCTCCCAGGAACCCATTATTCCCTTCCGCAGAGATGGAAAGCAGCGCATGGAACCCTGGAGAACCTTAGGACATCAGAGCCAGGATGAGCCTTAGAAGTCATCTAGGCCCATCTCATGAAGGAAGAAACTGAGGCTAGCAGAGTTAGAACTAGGTCTCCCAGCATTTTACAGGGGAGGGAGATAAGGCCCAGAGCCACTTGCCAAGGGCTGTCCAGTGTGACCTCTAAAAGCCAGTGCTGCGGGTGCTGAAGCAGACAGGGTAGATGGTATGCGCTGGGTCATGTGCTCCTCTCTTCCCCATATGCACACTCACTATCCTGAGTGAGACTTTTCTTTCCACTTGTTCTAGCTGAGGAAGAGAGGGAGGGAATATGTGTGTCCAGGGAGAGGAAATGGGTCCTACTTCCTGATTCAATCCTATTTAGTGCTCATTCTTTCCAGAGACCAGCTTTGTGAGAAAACCCCATCTGCCCTCTCTCTGACAGGGAAATCAGTCAGTCAATAAACATGTATTAAGGGCCTACTATGTGCCTGGCAGCCATCAGTCAGAGAACTACAGAATATTGGGTCTGGAAAGGACTTTTGATACCTTCTCCTTCCAGTTTCTCTTAAAAGAAGGGGCAGCTGAGACCCAAAGTGATTTGTCCAAGGTCACGCTGAGTTAGCATCCTAGGCGTGGGACTAGACCCCAGAGCTCCTGAATCCCCTAGTCCAAGACTCTTCTATGGGACTGATTGACACCCGTAAGTCAATCTGCAGGATCTAATCAGTCTACTGGCCGGTGGGGAGCTAGAATTCTGGACCTGCTCCCTTTCCCTTGCAATGCTTAGGAATTCCCAAGGTTCTTTCTCCTTCTTTTAGTAGATCTTAGCTTCGAGATAGCAATAATTGCAACTGCCATTTGGCACAGCGGGTATCCTAAAAGTCTTAGTTCAATTTTAAGCTTTAATGGCTTAATTTTTTTCAATCCAATAAATACTTATTAAGTACCTATTACATGCCAGGTACCATGCTAATCACTGGAGATATAAAGAATTTTTAATTCAATAATTTATTAAAGGTTAAAACTATTACTAAGCCTTTTGGGACATATATATTATATTAGAGTCTTGGACTCTACATTTAGACTTTGGAGACATATATGGGAGTCTTAGACTCTCTACTTAGACTTTGGGGACATATATATTATATGGGAGTCAAAAATACTGTATGCCCACAGAAGTGTGATTTGCCCAGAGTTACACAGCTGGTAAGTATATGGGGCAGAATTCAAATCTTGGTCTTCCTGTCTCCAAACCAGTGCTCAGTCCACTACACAAACCTTCCTGGCCTTTAACTCAGCCAAGAATCCCTCCTCTTTGGCCTCTGTCTGGCAAGGTCTGGTTTCAGCCAGGTAGAACTGACCCCCTCCCCTGGAGCTGCATTCTATCCCATGGTTACATTCCCTCATTCCCTGCGGCCTGAGCCAGCATCCAAGCCAACGAGCTAGCCAAAGTCACACGTCAATTCCAAGGAGCTGATAAGGGTCTGGTGGTACCGATTTCAGTCCCAGAGTCAGATAACAACCAGCAGAGCTGGAATCTTTGTTTCCTAAAAAGAATAGAAGATCCTGTTTTGTAGCCATCTGCTTCCTGGCACATTTTCTTATCTCAAGAGACTCCTCCTGCACTTCAGAGAGAAAGGTTCCCCAGGCGCAAGCTTTAGGTTCACAGAAAGAGCCTTGTGGGCAGGGCAGGTGTGGGTCCTGCCTCAGAACCAGGGATCACCCAGACTGAGATTGCCCCTGGGTTACCCGAGAAAATGTTTGGCTGGAGGAGGGAGACTTAGAGGGCATCCAATTCAGGGGGTTTTACCTGGGGGTCCATGAACTTATTTTTTAAATATTTTGAAAACTATATTCCAATATAATTGGCTTCATTTTCATTTTATGCATTTAAAACTATGCTTCTGGGCAGAGACCCTGTTAGTTTCCCTAGATTGCTGCCATCGAGGTCCACAGCTGCAGTAAAGGTTCAGAACCTCTGATCTAGCCCAAATTCCACCATTTAGAAAGGGCCTAGGTGACTTGTCACCAAGGTAGCAAACCGTGGAGGGATCTGAACCCAGATCCTTTGACCACCAAATCCAGTAGTCTTTCCTAGTTTCAGCTCCTCCATAGGAACAAAGAGAGTCATCACCATTTCTTCTTCTTCCTCTCTCCCTCCCACCAGTCGGGCCCTGTGCTAGACATGCCCGTCCCCTCCAGCTTTAACGATGTGGGCCAGGACCGCAAGCTTTACAGCTTCATTGGCTGGGTGTGGTATGAGCGGCAAGTGTTGGTGCCCCGGAGCTGGACCCAGGACCCAGGCACCAGGGTGATGCTAAGAATTAGCAGTGCCCACTACTATGCCATTGTGGTGAGCACCAGGGCTGGGGTTAAGGGAGCGAAGACAGAGTACACACTAGGGTGTGTGTGTGTGTGTGTGTGTGTGTGTGTGTGTGTGTCTGTCTGTCTGTCTGTCTGTGTGTCCCACTCCTAACATCTACTGGCTGTGTGACCCTAAGCCACTTCTGATACCAGTGTGGTGTGCCAACCAGGCTGCTCTGGGTCCTGTCCTCACAGGGCCTCTCCTGACTTCAGAGTCTCCCAGGGGCCTTTGTCAGAACATTGGCTCCTCTCTGCCGGGCTACCCTCCCAGGCCCACCTTCCCCTTAAAGAGTCACTTGAATGTGAGAAACCCAGGGCAAGCAGCCCTGGGTAGAAGATTCTATTGTCACTCCTTACATTCCCAGACAGGGTCGGTTGCCATGTCCTTAAAAAGAAAAAGAATCCTTGCTAGTTTTTACTTTCACGTCTTAATTTCCAAATACGTCCCTCCTCTTCTTCCACTCTGAGAGTCAACCTTTGTAAAAAAGGATAAGAAAGAGGAAGGAAAAAGCCAGTTGAGCAAAACTGACGTGTCGGCCGAAGCTGGCTGTGTATGCAGTGCTCATACCCAGCACCCCTCACCTCTGCAAAGAAGGGAAGGAGATGCATTCTCATATCTCTTCTTTGGGGTCAAGCTTGGGCATGACGAAGAGACAACATTCAGGTTTGATTGGGGGGTCATTCTCCATTTATATTGTAGTTCTTGTCTACAAGGAGGCAGCTGGGTGACTCAGCGGATGGAGTGCTGGCCTGGAATCAGGAAGACCAGAGTTCAAATCCAGCCTCAGACAATGACTAGCTGTGTGACCCTGGATGGGTCACTTGACCTCTGTTTGTCTTAATCTGCTAGAGAAGGAAATGGCAAACCACTTTAGGAGTTTTGCCCGTGGACAGTATTGCCTGGCTTGCCATGGTCCACGGGGTCACAGAGTCAGACATGATTGAACGAGCTCCTGTGGACATCGTTCTCCTGGCTCTGCTCCCTTCTGTTTGCCTCAGTTTACCCAAGTCTTCTTCGGTCGCCATTTCTTGTGCCCCAGTAATACTCATGTCTCACCATGAGCCATTCTTCAGTCGGTGTGGTCATTGCATTACCTTTGTGAAGCGCACAAGACTAGCTTGTTGTGTGTGAGTGTGTGTGTGTGTGTATGTGTGTGAGTGTGTGTGTGAGTGTGTGTGTGTGTGTGAGTGTGTGTGTGTGTGAGTGTGTGTGTGAGTGTGTGTGTGTGAGTGTGTGTGTGTGAGTGTGTGAGTGTGTGTGTGTGTGTGTGTGTGTGTGTGTGTGTGGAGCGTGCAAGTCTCTGACCTCTCACGTGGGTGGCCCCGCCCTGCTCATTGTCCTTGCCCCTCACTCACCTCCGCTCCCCTGCCTGCTTGTTTGCAGTGGGTGAACGGGGTCCACGTGACTGAGCACGAGGGTGGCCACCTCCCCTTTGAAGCCGACATCAGCAAGCTGGTCCAGTTCAGTCCTGGGGAGCTCAATCGCATCACCATTGCCATCAACAACACCCTCACGCCCCACACGCTGCCACCGGGCATCATTGAGCACATGACCGACAGCTCCCGGTGAGCAGGCCCCCTCAGCCGCCCCAAGCCCCAGCTGGGCTCCTGGGAAACACTCGAGCCTTCACAGGGTCACAGATCCAGACCTCCTCATTTGACACATGAGAAAACTGAGGCCCGGGAAGGTTAGATGTATGAGGATCCTAAATCTAGAGCCCTTTAGACAACCTCCTCATTTTACAGATGGGGAAACTGAGGCCCCTAAAGGTAAGTGACTGCCCGAGGTGTTGTTCAGTCATTTCAGTTGTATCCGACTCTCCATGACCCCATTTGGGGTTTTCTTGGCAAAGATACTGGAGTGGTTTGCCATTTCCTTCTCCAGTTCATTTTTCAGATGAGGAAACTGAGGCAAACGGGGTGAAGTGACTTGCCCAGGGTCGCCCAGCCAGTAAGTATCTGAGACCAAATTTTGAACTGAGGAAGATAAGTCTTCCTGACGCCAGACATTATGCACTCTGGTGCCCTTAGCAGCCCCAGGTATGAACCTCGGAGCCCCCTGTCCTCCTGCTCCAGGGTCAGCCCTTTGACCCCTGGGCCAGGCCCTACATATGGAAGTAAGAGCCAGGGAGAGCTGATGTGAACTCACTGCTGAAGGGCTGAAAGCGCTCCTTTCCTTTCCTCCCAAAACCCAGGTATCCCAAGTATTATTTTGTTCAGAAAACAAATTTTGACTTCTTCAACTATGCTGGGCTGCACCGCTCTGTCTTCCTCTACACCACCCCTGTCTCCTACATCGATGACGTCACGGTCACCACCGACGTAGACCAGGGCACAGGTGAGGGGCCCCGGGCTGCCACTGGGAGAGGAGGGAAGGGCTCAAATCCACTCTAAGCCTCTGGCTACATCATGCCCACCTCCAGGCCTGAAGCTGGGCATCACCTCCTATTCAGAGACATCCCTAGGGGCCATCCCGGGGGTCTCTCCACCCCTTCGAGGATTCCCCGAAGTCTGACTCAGGATTACAGAATGCTCAAGGCAGATGAAGCAGTCAGCAGAGGCTGAAGGCTAGAGAGGGCCAGTGGCTTCTACCACCATTCCATTGAGCTCTCCAGGCCCCTGACCCCAGGAAGGCTCTTTCTTCTGTACCCAGATGCCACCCGCTTACATCATGCAGCCCAAGCCCAGGACCGTGGGTACCAGAGGGACTGCTCCTGGGTCTCTGTCTTGGGGTGTTGCCCTTGAGGCGCTGATGTGTCTTTGTCTCCTCCAGGGCTGGTGAACTACGAGATCGTGGTAAAAAGCAATGAGAACTTTGAGCTAGAGCTTCTTCTCTGGGACAAGGAAGGGAGAGTGGTGGCCAAGGGAATGGGGGCCCGGGGCCAGCTAGCAGTGCCCAGCGCCCAGCTCTGGTGGCCTTATCTGATGCATGAGCAGCCTGCCTACCTGTACACGCTCGAGGTAACATCTCTGCCCCGGGTGGGAAGCTTCCCGTCCCACATGCTCCATTTGGCGGCCCAATTAGAGGTCTTGGTAGGGAAAGGAGGCCCTTAGGAAAATGTTTCCCAGCCTACGCAGGCCTCCGATGAGAGCTCACATTTGCGTCACATAAAGAACGTGTAACTGGAAAGCAACAAAATCTAAGAAATGCTAAGAATTCCTATCCCCAGAGGCAGAAAGTGAGGAGGCCCAGAGAGGTCACTGGATGATTGCTAGGTTTAGAGGTGGCCCTCATCCAGTCCAACTTTCTTATTTTAAGTTTTTTCACTAAAAATCTACTTTCTCTCCTTTCTACCTACCCTTCTGGAACCACCATTGAAGAAAAAAAAAAAGACAACCTTTGTAACAAATATTCATAGGCAAGCAAAATGAATTCCTGGTCTAATTCCAAAAAATATAGCTTCATCTGCTACCTGAATCCATCCCCTCTCTGTCTGGAGGTGGATAGCCTGTTTCATCATGCAGCCTTATTATACAGATGAGGAAGTTAAGGCCCAGAGGTGTCACTGATTGCATTGATTACTCTAAATCAGTGGGCAGCTACGGGGTACAGTGGACAGTGCACTGGGGCTGAAGTCAGGAAGACCTGAGTTCAAATTTGGTCTTAGATACTTACTAGCTGTGTGACCCTGGGCAAGTCACTTAACCTATTTCTGCCTCTATTTCTCCAACCATAAAATGGGAATAATAACAATACTTACCTTGCAGGGTTGTTGTGAGGATCAAACGAGATAGTATTTGTATGACATTAGCACATAGTAGGTGCTTTTTAAATGCTTACCCCCTTCCTCCCTGCTCCAAGTAGAAACAGATCCCCGCCTGCTGAATACTGGCTTAGAAAATTACAAATTAACATTACTGATGTTGTATTTTTATTTATTTGGTTAAACATTTCCCAATTACATTTCCATCTGTGTCTGGAGGCACTGGGGAGGAGCCCTGAGCCTCACCTGACACCACTGCTATAGATCAAAGATTTAGCACCGGGGAGCCACATCCAGACCCTTCATTTTACATTTGAGGAAACCGAGGCCTCTAAAGGTCAAGTGACTTGCCCGGGGTTACACAGCTAACAAATATCAGAACCAGAATTTGAACCTAGCTCTCTCCTGATTCGAAGGCCAACCAGCTTTCTGCTCCACCATACTGCCTGTCGACCTCTTTACCCACTCTAGCCCTGAGATGGCTCATGTCTTTCTTTTTTTTTATTTGAAATAAGATTTTTTTCCTTTCTTTTTTAAAAATTTATTTATTTTTAGTTTTCAACATTCACTTCCATAAGATTTTAAGTTCCAAATTTTCTCCCCATCTCTCCCCTCCCCCCTACCCCAAGACAGTGTGTAAATTGATATAGGCTCAACATATACTATGTTCCCATTAAACCTATTTTCATATTAGTCATGTTGTAAAGAAGAATTAGAACCAATGGGAGAAACCACGAGAAAGAAGAAACAAGCCAAAAAAAAAAAAGAGAGAGAGAGAGCAAATAGTATGCTTTGATTTGTATTTAGACTCCATGGTTCTTTCCTCGGATGTGGAGAGCATTTTCCAACAGGAAACTCTTGGAGTTGTCTTAGATCCTTGCATTGCTGAGAAGGGCTAAGTCTATCAAAGTCAGTCATCACACAATGTGGCTGTTACTGTGTACAGTGTTCTCCTGGTTCTGCTCACTTCATTCAGCATCAGTCCATACAAGTCTTTCCAGGTTTTTCTGAAGTCAGCCTGTTCATCATTTCTTATAGCACAATAGTATTCCATTATATTCATATGCCACAATTTGCTCAGCCATTCCCCTACTGATAGGCATTCCCTCAATTTCCAATTCTTTGCCACCATAAAAAGAGCTGTTATAAATATTTTTGTACATGTAGGTCCTTTTCCCGTTTTTATGATCTCTTTGGAATACAGCCCTAGAAGTGCTATTGCTAGGTCAAAGGGTATGCACATTTTTATAGCCCTTTGGTATCACATCATCTGCAAAGAGTGATAGCTTTGTTTCTTCTTTGCCTATTCTAATTCCTTCGATTTCTTTTTCTTCTCTTATTGCTAAAGCTAATGTTTCTAATACCATATTGAATAACAGTGGGGATAATGGACATGTACTAGAGTATTAAAAACCTCACAATCCAATGCAGAGAGGCAGAAATATTAAATGCATCCTTTTCAGATCATGGCCAATTTTTGTGTAGGTGCCATGTACCACTGAGAAAAATGTATATTCCTTTCTATCCCCATTCAATTTTCTCCAGAGGTCTACCATATCTAACTTTTCTAAAATTACATTCACCTCCTTAACTTCTTTCTCATTTATATTAAAATGTGCTCCCTAATTTTTTGTGACTCCATTTATTCCTGTGCTCTCTTGTGTTATTAATATAATTTAGTCTATTCTTTCTCATTTATTTTATGGTTAGATTTATTTAGTTCAGAGAGGGGGAGGTTGAAGTCCCCCACTAGAATAGCTTTGCTGTCTACTTCTTCCTGTAACTCACTTAACTTCTCCTCTAAGAATCTGGATGCTGTACCACTTGGTGTAATATGTTTAGTAATGATATTACTTCATTGTCTATGGTGCCTTTTAGAAGGATGTAGTTTCCTTCCTTATCTCTTTTAATTAGATCTATTTTTGCTTTTGCTTTGTCTGAGATCAGGATTGCTACTCCTGCTTTTTTTACTTCAGCTGAAGCATAATATATTCTGCTCCAGCCTTTGACCTTTATTCTGTATGTATCCCTCTGCTTCAAATGTGTTTCTTGTGAACAACATATTGTAGGATTATGGTTTTTAATCCACTCTCCTATCCACTTCTGTTTTATGGGAGAGTTCATCCCATTCACATGCACAGTTATGATCACTGTTGTTGCCTTTCTCTCCATTTTATCCCCCCCTACCCCATTTATGCTTTTCTCTCTTCTTTCTCCCTTTCCCTCCTCACTAGAGTTTTGCTTTAGACCACCACCCTCAGTCTTCCTTCCCTTTTATCAGCCCTCTCCCTTTTCTTTCCCTTTCCTCTTACTATTTCTTCCCTCCCTTCTATTGAGATGGCTCATTTCTAACCATTTAGAAACCAGGAGAGGGTCCGAGTGGACAGTGGGAAGACTACAATTGTCTGATTCCTTTGAATCTTGGTGTAGAGGCCACCAGGGCCTGGGTCTTCCTCATTTAATTTTTTCTGATCGTTTTGGGCCCGGGTCCCTGGTGTCTGAGCACTGACCATGCCCTCTACCCACCCTTACATCCTAGTAGGGCCAGGGGTTGGTTTTTCTTTGTAGGAGATGATGCTGCCTGGGAGAGGTTCCCCCATGACCCTTATGTCCTGTGCTTTGGGAATGGCAGGTGACCCTCGTGGTACAGACAGGAGCCGGCATTGTGTCTGACGTCTACACCCTTCCCGTGGGCATCCGCACCGTGGAGGTCGTACACAACCAGTTTCTCATCAACGGAAAACCCTTCTATTTCCATGGGGTCAACAAGCATGAAGACGCTGATGTGAGAGATGGGCTCAGGGGTAGGGGCGAAAACAGGGGTGTGTGGGGAGGTCAGTCTAAAAGCAAAGGCATCCATCTCTTGGCATCAACCCAACCCAACCAGCATTACTAATAATAACCTGGCACTATGCAAAGCCCAGGGGTGGCAAGACAAAAAAAAAATAAATAAAACCCAAAACAACAAATCAGTCCCTGACTCGAGGAGCTTACGTTCTCCTGAGGGAATATCACATGTATCCAGGTCACTACAATATAAGAGAGTAAAGGGGGCAAAGGAGAGATCAGAGATCAGAACTGGAGATCAAAATTTGAGGAGGGAGGAGACAGAGGAGGGAAGGCCCCACCAAGATGGTGGTGCCTGAGCTGAGCCTAAAAAAATATGATGGGGGCAGCTAGGTGGCGCAGTGGATAGAGCACCGGCCCTGAAGTCAGGAGGACCTGAGTTCAAATCCGGCCTCAGACCAAACACTTGACACGTACTAGCTGTGTGACCTTGGGCAAGTCACTTAACCCCGATTGCCTCACTTTCAAAAAAAAAAAAATATGATGAAGGGCAGAGGCAAAGAGGATTGCATGCTTGGCATGGGGACCAGCCTCTTCAAAGGCATGGTGGTGGGAGATTCTGAAGTTTGGGGAATAGCTCATGATCTAGCTCAGCTGAAGAATGTCACGTGGGAGGGAACATGGAATAGTTTGTAAGGTAGGTGACAGGTCTTCCACCTTGTGGAATGCCTTGAAATCCAGGCCGAGGAGGCTGGATGGGATCCCGTTGGCATGAGGAAGCCATGGAGGAGTTTTGAGCAGGCTTAATTACCCTATCACTCCCCTCCTCAGTAAACACCCCTGGGATCAAACCCAAATTCCTCTTTTGCATCTGGAGCCCTCCACAACCTGACTCTGGGCTACATTTCCAGACTTCCTATAGGAGGTCCCCCCACGAACTCAATGGACTTTCTTTTTAAGCCTTTGTGTCCCCAGGGCCTGGCACACAGTGGGAGCTTAATAAACGCTGGCTGGCTAACTGCTTTGGGGAGACTGGAGGCAAGGAGGCCGTCAGGAGAGTCCAGCTGAGTTAGGGCGATGGCCATGGGAGGCAGAGGGACAAGCTCTTCCCCTCGGGAGCCGGAACAAAGCACAGAGAGATGATGCAGCACGGGGCCTTCCCTCAGCCACCCTGGAAGGCCACACGTGCCGCAGTGCCGTCTCTGGGGTCAGGCCTAGGTTGGGTGACCAGTGGGGTGATGAGGCAAACACAGGAGAACACCCCGGCGGCTCTGCCCGTGTACCCCCGCCCCCCATGGAACAGGAAGGAGGCTTGCCATGACCTCCTCAACACGGGTCCCCATCATCTCCATCCCTAGATCCGTGGGAAGGGATTCGACTGGGCTCTGGTGATGAAGGATTTCAACCTGCTCCGGTGGCTGGGCGCCAACTCTTTCCGCACCAGCCACTACCCCTACGCCGAGGAGGTGATGCAGCTCTGTGACCGATACGGGATCGTGGTCATTGACGAGTGTCCGGGCGTGGGCATCGTGCTGCCGTGAGTGTCCTCCTCCTGAGCCCCCTGGTGCAGTGGGGCGGGTGCTGGGGCATTCAGGGGACCCCTGCGCCGTCCTAGCTATGTGACAGTCACTGTGCCTCGGTTTCCTCCTCTGTAAGAGGAGGGAGTAGAACCCGACGACCTCTGAGGTTCCTTGAGTTCTCCATCTGTGATCATCCTACACGGCTGGTTCGCCGGGCCAATGCGGACTCCTCTCCCTTCTCCCCCACAGGGAGAGCTTTAAGAACATCTCTCTGCAACACCACCTGGAGGTGATGGAGGAGCTGGTCCGGAGAGACAAGAATCACCCATCCGTGGTCATGTGGTCTGTGGCCAACGAACCTGTCTCCTGGCTGGCGCCTGCTGCCTACTATTTCAAGTGAGGACCTTCTCTGGGGGCGAGGCTTCGAGCTGTGGGGTGGGCAGTCCTCAGGGTGGTCTTGGGGACGTCTGCTTAGAGCGAGAAGCATTGGTACAGGAAACCATGCTTCCGTCCTGGCATCGTCCGGATCACTCGGGGGGCTCGGTGGGATCCAACCCACCAATCAGGATGCCTGTATTAGGAACCTGCCATGTGCCAGATGAAGACAAAAGCTTGCCCTCAAGAAGTTTCCAGTCTACCATGACCTAACTTCCCCGTGCCTTCTCCTTCTGGGGACAGAGAAGCGTAGGCTTTGCAGTCAGGAATCTCAGACTGAGTGGAGATAGCGGAGAAGGGAAACAGACCCAAGGCCACCACACTCAGGGCTGGCCCAACACTATCGGTGAGGGTGTGCAGTGCCTAGGGGGCAGAATGTGGGAGTTGAGAAGTTCCAGGTTCCGGGTTCCAATTCCACAGATGACATGCCCAAAGCTGTGTGACCCTGCTTGTGCTTCAATGTCCTCTTCTGTAAAATGGGTTAATAACAACACCCATGACTTCAGGATTGTTGTGAAGATCAAGTGAGTCAGCACAGAGAAAGTGTTTTTCAAACCTTAAAGTGCTGTATAAATACTAGCTGTCATTTGGGCAAGTCACGCCCTTCCTGGGCCTCTTTCCTCAGTTATTAAACATGGAATTTGGACCAGATGACCTCAGAGGTTCCTCCCAGCTCCAGAACTGTGACCCTGTACTTATAAATGTTAGAGCTCATATGTTCTAATGACCTCAGTTTTTAGTTTTGAGTTTTAATTTTAATTGATAGCTTTTTAAATATTTAAAATTTTTAACTTAAAATTTAAAAAAATTAGGGCATCTAGGTGGCACAGTGGATAGAGCACCAGCTCTGGAGTCAGGAGGACCTGAGTTCAAATCCGGCCTCAGACACGTAACACTAACACTAGCAGTGTGACCCTGGGCAAGTCACTTAACCTCAATTGCTTCATATAAAAAATTTTTTTTAAATTAATACTACCTTTATTTCCTAATATCCTAATATTCCTAATATCCTTCCCAGACAAGCCATATTTATTTGAGGGTTCTTAACCTTTTATATGTCACCACTCCCTTTAAGCAGTCTGGAGAAGCCTATGGGCCGACCTCAGATCACATTTTTAAATTGTGTATTATTTATTTATCATCATTTATTATTTACAGATTTAAAAAAAATTTTTAATATATAATTTTATAATTTTTAAATAAAATACAAAGGAAACCAATTATATCAAAATACAGTTCTCAAAAAAAAAAATTTTTTTTAAGTTCTGGGTCCTAGGTTAAGAAATTTTAAAAGGAAAAGCAAACATTTTAGCAAAACTAACCAAGCGCTCATCCAAGTCTGGCACTCCATGCAGTATTCCATACCCATAGTCCCCTCCCTCTGGAAAGGAGGGAGGAAAGTGCCTTCTTATCTCTTCCTTGAGGCCAAACTGGGTCATTATCATTTCACAGGTGATGCCCTCATTTTGCCAGAAGAAACAGGCCCAGAAAAGGAAATTCTGTATGAATGTTTTACCAGCTTTAGGCAAAATTGTGGATTAGCTAAATTTGTCCTTTTTTGGGGGAGGGGGAATCACAAACCAGTGAACAACAGAGCCTGGCCTATTGTCCCCTGGTGCTAACTGGGCGGGTCCACTGGGCCTCTGAAGGGGGGGCTTCCTTCCCTCCACAGCCAGGCTCAGTCACCCTGAGCCAATAGTCTGGAGAGTTGGTGGCCAGGCCAATTGGCCTCAGGGGCTTTCTCTGAGCCACCCAACCCCCTGTGGAGATTATTCCCTCCCCTCTTCAGGACTCTGTCCTTTGGGGAAAACCAAGGGCAGGTTTGGAGGAGGGTTGGTCAGAACTAGAGTAAGGCATTCTGCAATTTTCCCAGAACAGAAACTTTAAAACTTCAGAAGAGCAGTGTTGGGGTGTGGCAGGGTTAGGAACTTACACTGACTAGCTATGTGACCCTGAGCAAGCCACTTAACCTCTGTCTGCCTCAGTTTCCCCAACTGTAAAAGTGGGGATCATAATAGCACCTCCCTCCCCGAGTTATTGTGAGGATGAAATGAGATGATATCTGTAAAGTGCTGAGCACAGTGCCTGGCACATAGTAGGTGTTTAATGAATGCATATTTCCTTCCTCACAAAAAGGTTTCCCTCCTTTCTTTGCAGAGGTGGGAGACTATGGGTGTGGATTACTGCATATACTGTCAGACCCAGCGGATGCATTGGTTAATTCATAGGATCAAGGATTCCAAGGTAGAAGGGCCTCCAGGGGTCACTGGTGCAATTCATTTTATCAAGTGAAATGATGCACCATCCTGGATGGAGAACAGGAGGAGCCCCCTCTCATTTTATTTGTTTTGTTTTTGGCTAGGCAATGGAGTTAAGTGACCTGCCCAGGGTCACACAGCTAGTGAGTGTTATGTGTTTGAGGCTGGATTTGAACTCAGGTCCTCCTGACTACAGGGCCGGTGCTCTATCCACTGTGCCACCTCGCTGCCGCCCCCTCTCATTGTAGAGAAGGGAACTGAGGCCCATTGAGGGCAAGTGACCGGCCTCAGAGAGGCTGGATTGGAATCCAGGCTGCTGGCTCCCGAGGCAGCACTCTGCCCAGTTCTCCACACACCTCTCAGGGACCTTTGGCTTTATTCCTTGTAATAAAGGTCTGGGGGAAGGAAAGGATAAATCTGGAAATTAATGGAAAAACAAAAGCTATCATTACAAATTAAACTAGGAAGAGAGAGGAAGAAAGGAAGGAAGGAAGGGAGAGAGAGAGAAAGGAGGGAGACCACAGTCATGAAAAGGAGTCAGGGCGGCCATGGTGACAAGCCCATCCATCACCAGCAGGGGAGCTGAAACCGTGGAAAGGTCAGTGGCCGGAAGTCTAGTGCCACGAGCCAGTGGTCACTTCTCTCCACTGAGCCTCCATTTCTTCCTATTATTATAAAGATCTCATTTGATCCTCACAACAACCCAATGAGTCCTTGTTTTGTGAATGTAGATGAGAAAATAGTTTGTCCCCATTATCCCCTATTATCCCCATTTTGAAGATGAGAAAACTGAAGCAGAGGTTAAGTGACTTGCCCAGGGTCACACAGCTAGTAGGCATCTGAGGTTGGATTTGAACTTAGGTCTTCCTGACTCCAGGCCCAGTGCTTTTCTGTTGGCCCAGGAGATCTCTAAAGACCCCTTCTAGGACTGACACTTCATAATCAGTGCAGAGACATTATTATAGGAGGCTTTAATACAGTCACATAGGGACACATTGGTCACGAGGGGTCCCTCGCTCAGAATGACTGGGAAATAGTCGCTGGCTGGGCTCTATCTATGAGGCCTTTAGAACAGGCAGCTTTAAGCAGAGAGCATTTTCCTAGCCCCCAGCCCACTACGGGTTATCCACTCTGGGCTGCTTCCACTCTAGGAAATCAGAAGACCCTCTGCTCCCCTTCCCCACCCTGCCCCCCTAGAGCCTCAGGCCTTTGCCCACTCTTGGAAGCAGAGGCAGGGGCCGTGGAGGAAGCAGGGAGGGTAGCAGAGACCTGCAGCCCTTCCCATTCTGATGGACCACCATGTGTCTTCTGCCGTGAACAGGACCGTGATAGGCCACACCAAAGCCCTGGACCCCACGCGACCTGTGACTTTTGTGTCCAATTCTAGGCCTGAAGTGGATCGTGGGGTAAGCGCCAGGATGACTTCATTTTTTCTACTTCTTACTGGCTTTTGCTTGGTAGCATAGGCTAAAACCAGACGGCGAACATCTGTACGTCCTGGGGCAAAGACAGAGGAGTCTGGCTGTGAGGCCCCGCCCAAGGGAGGCCAGGGAATTCCACTCTCGTCTATGCTGCTTACACCCCCAATTGTGCAAGGGGAGGTGGTGGGACCTAACTGCAAGGACCTAAGCTGGGCGCTGGGCATGTGGCCCAGGCTTAGACCAGCTAACTCCCATGCCGAGTCCAGTCACAGAATGTTACGGCTGAAGGGGCTGCCCATCACCTCCTAGCCTATCCCTTCAATGACAGGAGGACGCTGGCCTTGGTCACACAACTGGCCAGCGACAGAGCCACATCTGGAGCCCGGGGGTCTCTCGCCTAACACATAGTTCATATACCTCCCACTCTCACTGCTGCCTGCCATCTTTAAAACCAGGGGTGAGGAAAACGGTCCCTAGCCCAGCCCACACTTGTTGTTGCTGAGTCGTGTCTGACTCCTGATGACTCCATTTGGGGTGTTCTTGCCATGGAGACTGGAGTGGTTTGCTATTGCCTTCTTCCACCCTACAAATAAAACAGCATTGTGGAGAAGGGAAGGGAAGCATCCCTGCTTTATAGGTATTGTCCTCACAGGATATCACCCAAGTTAGGAGTGGATCAGAAAGCAGAAGTGACCAGAGACGAATCATCATGCTGCCAATGAGTCCTTGTTTTGTGAATGTAGATGAGAAAATAGTTTGTCCACTTTACATGCCCTTCTGTCGCCCAGAGGGCACCCCTACCTTCAAGGACTGCGGAGCTGTCCTCTTAGCAAGATAAGAAATGCCTTACTCCTTCCGTCACTCTGCTTTTCTCCTTCCCTGGCCAACTCTTCCCATGGGTCCAAGCTGGCCCTCCTAACCTCACCTCATTCCAAAGGCATTTGGACCTTCAGCTGTAATGACCCCCACATACACACATGCATGCCCACAAACCAACCCACCCATCCAGGGCTCCCTACACCCTTCCCACCACCTGCATTGTTATGTGGCCCGAGAGTTCAGGGAGGAACAGCAATCATTGGGAGAAGACAGACCACATCAGGGCAAACACAGGTTGGGAGATGAGCAGTTTTATTAGAGACAGGATTATTAAGCTAACGATGGGGAATCACAAATCAAAGCTGTTCCTCTCCAGTACCATGTCACCATTTCAGCTCACTTCTTTTTCCCCTTCTGCCCACCCCCCAAGAAGACCCCTTCTTCCATTCACTAGTGAATCTGACCCCCAGCTCAAAAACCTCACCACCAAACTCCCAAGCGGGATGGTGTCCAGGGGAAGGGTCCCTGGGGGAGAAAATACTGCCAGTGAAATTGGACCTGAACCCCTCCTAAATCTTTACATCATCCTCTACCCCCAGTATTCTGTTCTGTCTCCTGGCCTGCCCCCCCTCCTCTGTTGGTCAGCCAAGATGGGCACAAGCAAAGCCTATTTCAGCCCTTTATTGATCACATCTCCTGCCCACTAGGAGCAGGGCAATCTTTGGAGGCAGAGTTTGGGGAGGAAAACCACTTTGCTCAACTCACATGACCAAACTACCCAGGCCTTCCATATTGAGGGATAGCCTTATCTCCGATATTAAAAATATCAGTCACTCTGAATCCACCTCACATTTTGTGAGTTTGAAAGCAATGCTGTTTTTTGTTGTTTTTTTAAAGACAAGGTGTCCCTATGTCATCTAGGCTGGAAGGGCTCAATCTCATTGCTGATTGACCTGCCCACCACAGCTTTGAACTCCTCACCTTTAGAGGCCTGCTAGCCCTCTCCTCAGCTTCTCTGGTAGCTGGGATTCCAGGTGTACACCATCACACCCAGCTAAAAGCGAGCTTTTAAAATTTCTCTTAGGCACCATATGTGGATGTGATCTGTATAAACAACTACTATTCCTGGTACCATGATTATGGGCACCTCGAGGTGATTCAACTGCAGGTCAACGCTGCATTTGAGAACTGGTATAAATTATACCAGAAGCCGATTATCCAAAGTGAATATGGAGCAGACAACATTCCTGGGTTTCACCAGGTGAGTGGCAGGCACCATGCCAAGCTCATTCTTCTTCTTGGGGTGAGGTTTAGTGGCCAGGAGCTTTCCTTCTCTGTCCCATTTCCAGTGGTATTTGCAGTGGTAGGGAGGCCACTCTTGGGCCCCGGTTACATTTTGTCTCTTATGGAAGCTAATGAGTTTGAGCCCATGATCCTCCTCCATCTCTGGGGTTGGATTTCTCCTTTCTGTCTCTCAGAGAGCCTGCGCAAGGGCCAGAGAATTTCCCACTTGACTACAATTGCAGGCCTGGAGTTCTCCCTTTGGACACCCTTAGGACTGAATAGTGGATTCCCTTCTTTTTAAGCTCAGTCTGGCCCCACTAAAATGTCGTCCCTATGCTAACAGATGCAGGCAGACCCCCTTTTCTGTTGAGATTTTAAAAAATGCTTCTGATGTTCATATGCTCTATAAACGTGTGATGGTCGCACATCCAAGGACCTCATTGCAGTGGCCATGTGACCCCCAAACAGGCATTGTTCCTGAAACTAAAGCCTATTATTCTCCCTCATGGGCAGTGAAGGGAAGTGTCAATCTTTTTTCATGGACACCTTCTCAGAATAATGTTTTAAAATGCCCAAGTCCATAGGATTGCGGAAGAAACCAAAGGTTAGTATAAAGGTATAATTCTTATCCCTTTTAAGTTCATAGAGGCCCTACTCAAGATCGTGGGGCCCATGGACCCTGAATTAAGAATTCCCTGCTCTCTACATGCTTTTCTGGCATTTGCTTAGCATCTAATTCCTCATTCACCCTTTTAGGAGGTGGTGGGGAAGAGAAGAAATGGTGATACAGAAAATGGAGTGCTCTAAAAATTCTCCTCCTAAACTCGGACCCATGTTACTACACACAACTCCAATGAATAATCCAGCTAGATTCTGTTTCTAATGTTAGGATAAGGGCCCAACTTGTAATTTTATTGTTTTAGAGAATCCCCAGGTGAAGAAATTCCCTCTCCCAATGCACACTGGCACCTTCTTTGTAACATTGGATTGATTGTGTGTGTGTGTGTGTGTCTGTGTGTGTGTGTGTGTCTGTCTGTCTCCTCCCGGTTCTCTATCCACTATACCACATACTTCCTTTTCAACCTTTCTGTGCTCCAAGCCACCTTTGGTACTAGGTCAGGACATCCAGCAGATTACTCTCCCTAGTTGGGATAAATCATCAGAGAAAATCATGGCCTTTGCCCTCCACTACTAGAAAACATGCTTCTTGAGTCTCCTCTGTGGAGGCATCAGAGACACCAAAAGGCGGCGGGCCCCCTCTGTTGCAGCCAGCCTCACTTCCAACGCCCTTAGCCTTAGCTGCCAAGAAGCCAAGAGTTAGCTAGGATCTTGGAATTCCAGCCTTCCTCTTGACAAATGCATCTGGCTTAGCTCACCATCAGGGTTAAGAGGTGATAATGGGCAGCACTGAGGTCTCGGGAACTCCAACAACCTTGAAAACCATCTGTGTCCATGGTAGAGCAGGTTGTTTGTTTCATGGAGGACCACCACCCTCCCTGGTCTGCTTTCAGGCATAGCTGCTCTTTGTTCTTTGTCCAGCAGATACCCTGGAAACAAACACCCTATAAAAACTGTTGTTAGTTAGGAGTTTAGACTGTCCTTCTAGTTGGTCAATTCATGGTCTTTGCTGTACAAACTGAACATGGCACCGGCACCAGCACAGCAGGGCAGACTCACTCAAGTCTGCCAAGTCATGCTGCGTGCATCAGCAACTCCTTAGATCTTACCTGACACACAAAAATCCAGGTTGCTACATTTGGACATTCTTTGTGTTTGCACACGTACCCTTTGAGCAGAGCCAGCAAACAAAACGAAGCCTTGGAAGCAAGGCACGGCCACCGCACTAAACGAAGCTCTTAAAGTTCCTTGCATGGATGCATGGTGTAGCATCCAAAGGCCACATGGCTGCCCTGACAGCCTGCCTTGAGGGCAGAGACCCAGACACTAGCTCAGACTTACCAACTTTCATGGACACTGAGACCTTGCCAGCTCCAACCAATGACCCCCACCTTCCCTCCTCTCCATCTCCGCTATGTAGGACCCTCCTCTGATGTTTAGTGAAGAATACCAGAAATTTGTGCTGCAGCAGTATCATTTTGCTCTGGATCAAAAACGCAAAGACTACGTGATTGGAGAGCTTATTTGGAATTTTGCCGACTTCATGACGGACCAATGTGAGTGCCCTGCCTGTCTTCGGCAACTACTAGCTCTCCTTAGTTACAAACACAAGTCATGGGAGGGAGACACATTAGACTGCATGGAGAATTGGCTAGGGAAATCTGGGAATCCGAGGTGCTTTCTCTATAACTAGGATTGTAAACCTTTAACCAAACTTGAAAGCATTTTAGGGTAGAAAAGCCAGTATTTGAGTCAATCTGTCTTATAATGATGGTAGTATGAGTCACTCACTACTAAACTCAGCTGTCATCTAACTTACTTTTTGAACACATCCATTGTCCCGAAGCTGATAAATCCCACTGATCTTTTCCCCCTTTTTTGGTGGGAAGTGGGTAGAACATGAGAGAAATGAACCAGGGTTGCCTCAGAGTAGCATCCTTTCTACTACAAGCTTTTCTTTTTTTTGGGGGGGGGGTATAGCTCTAATCACCCAGACCCATATATTTTTCCTTCTACTATGAGGTAGTTTCTTTTGATAAGTAAACTCCCTTTCCTAATGCCAATCCTGTTCAACAAAATCTAGTCTTGGGGTTGCCTGGGGGACCAGAGAGCTAAGTTGATTTGTAGAGGGCCACACAGCCAGTATATGTAACAGGCAGAACTTGAACCCAGATTTTCTGGATTCCTTGGCTGATTCTATCCTTCAGAGTGCACTGCTGCTCTATGGTCTGAGATAAACTAATTTTCAACAGTGTTGAAAAATACTCAGTCCATTTTCCAAAGCTTATTTGAAGGGACAGACACCTGTTTGACAAAGGTATGGTTTCAAAGAAATACCTCATTTTCAGCTAAACAGGCCCTAGCCAAAACAAAATAAAATGGAGTATGTGCTTGTATCATTTTTTTTTTCTAGCAAAGGTATAAAACTGTAGTTCTGGGTAAATCCTCTAGGAAAGTTATTTCTGAATTCTTGTAATATTTCTAGAAGCCTAGATATGCCATGATATATCATGGACTAGGGTGGAAGAGGAAGCCATGGTCATTAAAGCACATTTTAAGTGTTAAAGCTCAACTAAATAACAAAGAAAGGGTGTGTGGTGATGGGGGGGGGATAAGGCTACAAAAGGGCAAAGAAGAGAGGGAAGGCGGAGAAGAGATAAGGAGACAGAAACCTCTGTTTGACTTGGTGTAAGCAGCTTCTGTGTCAGTCAGGAGTCCCCAACCCTTTCATGGAGACCAGCTGGTATTCATTTAATCAGATTCTCAAGCCCATGCTCACAGTCAGGTTTCTGATCAGAGGAAGTTTACGGGTTCACAGTGAGTTCAATGAGAACCCTGGGGTGGTGCCCGGAGCAGTACCAACCAGTAGATCTCCAACTGCTAGGGGCTTATTTTGAACTTTCTGCTCAAGGGGCCAGATTAAAATATTCTACTCTAGTGTTAGTTTGGGCGTACTACCATAACTAAGCCTTAAGTCAGCCTCAATACCACTTGACTTGGTATAGCCTACTGGCACCATGAGGCATTTCATCACCACTTTGGTTTGGTATGGTTTTGTTTTTTAAATCTGCTTTTCTGAGCTTAAAAACTGTCTCTGCCCAGTTCAGTTTTAAGGCTGGTGAGTTAGGATCTAGTCCATCCATACAAGACAATAGAGAAGATTAACAAAGGGCCTTCACTATGCTTTTTGCCTCGTTTTCAGCACCAAGGAGAGTTATCGGGAATAAGAAAGGAATCTTCACCCGACAGCGACAACCCAAAGGTTCAGCATTCCTTCTGAGAGAACGATACTGGAAAATCGCCAATGAAACCATGTATCCTCATTTAACAGTGACTCCACAGTATTTGGAAAATCGGTTTTTTAACTCCCTTGACCAGAACTGTTTCTAGGGACCAGAGACAAAACCTGCCAGGGAGGGGGGAGCTGCTTGATTTGCAAGGGACTCCTGGATGCCCTAGCAGACAAGAAGAGATGTTTCCAGGGTTATAAACTACACCTTCTGGGGGGGGGGGGGAAGACATGGAACTTTTTGATAATGTTCTGCAAGATGGGATACTGTCAAGTATGAAATGAGACCTTTTTCTAGAACAGAAATACAAGTTTTAAGAATTGGTTATCCAGGGGCAGCTAGGTGGCGCAGCGGATAAAGCACCAGCCCTGAAGTCAGAAGGACCTGAGTTCAAATCCAGCCTCAGACCAAATACTTGACACTTTGTGTGACCCTGGGCAAGTCACTTAACCCCAACTGGCCCCCCCCAAAAAAAGAAAAAAGAATTGGCTATCCTTAAGTGGGAGGACCTCCATAAAAACATATGGCTGAAAAGAATTTGAAACCAGTTTGACAGATTAATGTGCTTTGTTCTCATATGCCCTGTGCAGACAGACTCTTAAAATCAGAATGTTTTAATGACTACACAGTACTAATGGTATGTTGTTACAAAATTGTATGTTTTTCCAACAACAGCCCTGTGCTAACACAAAAGCAAAGCCTGGTCCCTTAACACAGAGGTAGTACGTTTTCCTCCACCCTGGACACCACCAGACTGGCCATGATGAAATAAATGAGAATTTAAAAATAACACATAGGAGACAATGGTTTTCCTTCTTCACAACTATGACTGACCTTCATGAGAACCAACACCCTAAATGATACAATGTGAAGGGGACACTGACTTCACATTGTCTTTACTGAGGTTCATAGCCTCAGTTTTTTTATAGAATTCATTAGACTCATTCACATGATTCTTCCCCTCTTCCCTTTCTGCCCTCTTAGAAGCCAACAATAAAAAAAGTTTTTGACTATACATCACTCTTCTTCACAACCTTGTGATAGAGGTAGTGCAATTATCCTTATCTTCTTTTCACAGATTAGAAAAATGAGGTTTGGGAAGGTGATGGTGACTTCCCCAATTATAGAACCATATATTAAGAACTGGAAGGCCATATAGTCCAATCTCATTTTGCAAATGAGGAAACTGAGGCCCAGAGAGGGTAAATGACTTGCCTAGCAAGTGTCTGTGAGGTAGGATGTGAACTCAGGTTTTTCCAACTCTGAATTCCACACTCTTATCTGTTCCAACAGCCATCTACATGCCTTTTGAGTCCTGGATGCCTCTTCATTGGTCTCTTGAAGTAATTGTTCATAAAAGAGGCCCTTTTATCTAAGAAGCCTCTATCACTTCGACCACCACTGCTCTATTTAGTGCTGGGGGGAAGGAAATAAGAAGATAAGCTTAAGGCTCTAGTCTGCTAGTCCAAGATGACTAACTCTGTCTATGGAACACAGAATTTGAAAAGGGGCTACTCTCACAAACTTCTGTCTTTTAAGTCAACAACCTACCCTCTCCCCATTCTTAGAAGACAATATTTTACAAAACACATGGGAAGAGGCCTCAGTCTCCTCATCTATACAATATGGGGATCAGACCAGATGAGTGACAGCAGTGATCTAATATTGCTCAAAATGAAGTCAATGTGATGAGTTAAGCAAGTCTTCCCTAACACCCATGTTAGCTTTGCTTTCCAAAGCAGTGACTCATTTACTATGCTAGCCAGCCTTTCAAAACAAAGCCAGCACCATTCAAACAGCACCTAGTTGGTCTTTCAAAGAACCATACATTTCTTCTGTCACCAGTGACACAATGCCATGAAGCTTCTCAAAGAGCATCACATTCCACACTATTTCAACACTGACAAAGTCACATATAAAACCATTAGCCTATAAGAGTCACGTCAAAAATGACACCAATCATAACCACTATGATTAATGCTTTACAGATTAAGGAGCTGTCCCATTTCATTGGGCCTGGGACATTGGGAGAGCAAAAACAACATCCATCCCAACTACAAAGGCAAGTGTTCTGAGTATAGATTTCAAAATGCTTAAAATCCCCAGCATTTTTCACCAAAAAGGGACACTGCCACTTTTGAAGACTATAATACTGTCCAAATTCCATGAAACCAAAACTATGAATCTAAAAAAAGAAAACCACTAAACAAATTTCTGTAGACTTGAAGCATTGTAAACAGTAACACCTTAAAGTCATGGATTCTTGACTCCAGACAACCACATACCCACATCACATAATAAAATGGCAGAAATTCCAGGAACTTGGATCTCTAGGGACTCAACAATTCAACCTCTTTACAAATTAATTTTTAAAAAATGAATAATCACAACTTAGTACATATCTAGAAAAGTATTGACTTTTTTTTTTTTTAAAGCATCTAAGGCTCCCCCTGAAGCCCCAAAGGCCTCTGTGTTTAGGTTCACCCAAGCTCCTGATTGGAAATGCAGAACTGCAGGCTAAGAATGATTGCAGCAAAGACTTCCACAGGAAATGTTGACATTTATTTTATACCAAAAAGTTATGTGCAACAAATAAGCATTCTTACATATTTACAGGGTTATTGTCTTTTTTCTACCAGTTAGAAAAATTGTGTCCCACATGTCTTTCACAGAATATATCTATCAATGTTGTTCAGAGGAATATTTGCCTGGTGCCTCTGCTTTAAATGAATGTTTACTTTGGAGATTAAAGCAGTAGTAATAAATATTTCCGATGGAATGCACTACACAGATCGACCCGTGACGAATACTAAGGCCATGCTTTAAGCCAGTTTTACAGAAATGGAACATTCCACCTTCTCTGAACTAATGTAAAGATCACGTTTAATTAAACAAGGTTGGCCAAACCAGAGTCACGGTTTATCAGATGATTTATTGAGGTTTAGTCCACCAAAGTTCAAAGCCCCTATGGCTGGCTGAAGCATCGAGACGGGACAGTTCTGATGGTCAAGGGAGGTCGGTGTTCACGTTGCCCCTTTCAGATGCGAGTTGTTCCTTCAAAGAGGCATCAAAGGTGGGAGGAGGGAAAGTGTTTGTCCCCTTTAAATCTGTGGTATTGGTCTAACACTGATCTTCAGCTGAACTTGTCCAGCCAATAATAACTGTCAGTCTGAGAATTTCCTCCAAAACTTTCCAATGCCATCACAAGCAAGTAGCACAGATTCCAGATTCTACAAGAAATGAAGACTCTTGATGCTTTCTGCTCGTCCATGGCGACATAAAACCATGAGAGCTGAAGCCGGTCAGGGTTTAGTCTTCGTCATTTTCTACCTCTCTGCCTTATCCTATGTGTCTGTAACCCACGAAACCCTAAGATTTCTGGCAGCCAATTTTTTATTAATTTTTTGCTCTTCTGTCTGAAAATAGTCAAGTCCACACACTTTGGGACTCTTAGTAGTAACGGATTTAATGAGAAGTTGCATGAAATACAAGTACAATTCCTGGCACACAACTGGTTAACCCTGAGCTATTTCACCAGAAGAGAAAAAGTTTTCACCTCAAACGACATCAGACGACAAAAACAGAAAGGGGAAAGAAAAAAAAAACAATCCCAAACCTCCCCCAGACCCCCTAGAATTTATAATCCCACCACATTTAACTATTTTATCAAATTACATTCAAGACTTACAAAAAGCATGTTAAGAGATCTTCATTTGTTCTGAGTCAATTCACCAATGACATGAAATACAAAAGACCCTGCTTAAAAAAAAAAAAAGCTAGGAGTTTTTAAAATTATCTTTTCCCTAACCCATTCTTCAAAGATGTTGGCAAATCAAGTTAACAGGCTAAAACAAAACATCCAATCCAAAATGCTTTTCCAGTCTACATCAACATTTACATTTGACAAATATGGTGGCTTTTATGGGGGGGGGGGGGGTGCAGGGCAGGGTCAATCAAGAGCAAAAAAAATCATGAAATCAATATTCTTACTATGAGTCCTGGTGCTTACAGAGACAGTTTACAATGAATGATAAGCTTGTACATCAAGCAGCACATATTCATCTCTTTTCTAAGTCTACTAGTCACAGGAATGTATTAAAATAACTTCTATACAATATCTTAACCAGTGGTGTTTCCCCTAAGGCTTATGAGAGGAAAAGAAAGGAAAGCCAGAAGGGTCCCAGTTGAATGTTAGACTCGTGTCCTCTCGTCAAAGTTCAAGCTGTCTGAGAGAGACCTGAACAGCAAGAGAAGTTTGAAGTGTACACCAATGGTTCACACAAAATGTGGTGGGAAACGGTCTCCAGTTGGGACAGGAACGTTTGGAGTGCTTTTGAACTGATGGAATTTCACCACAGCGCTCTTAATCATTAGCCCGTCTCCTCCCAAATCTTAGAAAAGGGAATTTCACTGTATTGCCTTAGCAAAACTGAAACTATTTTTCACAAATATATCAATACTCTCCTCCAAAAAGATCATTGATGTTCAAGCATCATCATTCTCCTAGTGTTCTTAAACCATTAGAGTACAAGAAATTCAGAGAAGAAATTTGTTCTTTAAACATTCACATTCACAGGAAAAGGAAGTTTTTGTTCCAAATGGATTACGCCATTTTTAAATAAATTGGTTTGTAGCTTAGAGTATACATCCAGATCCCTAATATACCTGTTTGGAGGGCACAAAACGCTACTGATTTCATGAACTGAGAGATTTTAGCTGACAAAAATTACCCCACTGTTGCCGACTCTGCAGATTTTGACCTTCTAAGCCTGCTCTGCCCTCCAGCTTCATTTGTTAATTCCTCAAGTCCGGTCAGCTACACTTGGACACGATGGCTAATAGAACTGGAACCAATGCTATTGCTACTACTCAGCTGAAGGACCAGAATGACCACATGCGGTGCTTTTCTAGAGACTTAGAGTTTTTCTATTCCATTCACGTGGGGGGGGGGGGGGGAAAAAAAAAAAACAAGGACACTTTTCTGCCTGCTGAGTTCAACACACAAAATATTTGGTTTAAGGATTGAAGACAGAAGGCACTTTTAATATTCTGTTTTAGGATGTTGACCATAGAAACACACTGTCACAATTTCCATTGGATTTATTCAGATCAGCTTTTTAAAAACTTCTTCACCCTACACTTTCAATGGCTCTTAGAAAGGTTGCCATGCCAGCGCTCCTGGAGCCTCCCTCCCTTCAGTACCTACAAAACTTTCTTTTCCCTTCTAAGCAGACTGAATCTCTTGTGAGAAGTGCAGGGTGTCAGGCCTAAAGTTCACTTCTAAATACAGTACAAATCAGAGATTCTAAACCAGATCATCCTATGTCTCTTTAGTTAGTGCAGAACTCATCCACTCGGAAAATCCCTCTGGAGCTACACAGGACCTCAATCCTCCTTTGCAGTCCTTGGGCTTACTGACACACCTATTACCAATGAGTCATAACACTGCTTGGCTGTCTGGCACCAATTCAAATGAAAAATGTCTGCAGGAAAACTCAACTGTTGGAAGAAATGAAGCCCTTAAGGACCCTTAAGCTAATATCACCAACCCCACCCCCCTTTTCCCATCCTTCCCCGCCCAGAGACACCTTCCTCATGGCCAGGTCTGGTCACTCATCCTGTGTCAGTAACAGTCAGTCCCATTTCATGACTTCACATAAACTTGACTGGGGCCTTCTTTCAACTTCAGTTTCTTCCTCAGAGAAGAGGTGCAGGGAAGTGGACCAACACCCTGAGGGTCCGTGAGGCTGGTTAGTCTGGCAGCCACGGCTACTAGTGCTTTTGTTGAGATGCTACCCACCCGGAGGGGCTTCCTGACTCCTTCCACTATTAGTCAACTACGAGCTGAAAATTCTTCATTGCTACACTTTAAACTAAACTGTAGAGTAAGCTCTGCAGGGATGGATCCAATATTTCTACCTTTATTGACAATATCACATAAATGGATTCTAGTTGAATCTACATGTTTCAATCCATCGGCTAAAAATGTATTACATACTGTAAACATGGCAATATTTAATACAGTATCTATTCTAAAATATTTTCATGTCATGATCACATTTTTAATACCTGAAACTGAATTTATACATGTAAGAGAATTACTAGCAACTGTTGCTTCACTTGACAATTGGGGATTGGGGAGAAAAAACTATACTTTGTTATTTCAGAAACATCTTCAAAGGAAAGTTAAAGCTTGTCTTTGATTGGCTCGGAGTATCCTCTTTTGTATCCATAGTCAAACGGAAGATTGACACAGAAAATAGATAGGGCCCCTTCTAATTAACAGGATTTTTTTTTTTAAAAATCAGTTTAAGATTCTTAGGGAAAAGTGTCTGATATGAAGAATAAAAAAAAATTACTGCAAAATAAACTGAATGGACAAAGGGTCTCCAGACGGTCCGTTGAGAGCTCTCCAGGCTGGATCAGTCCTGTTTAGGCTGCAGCTGCCGTTTCCAGGCTTCATTCAAGTAAACGAGTCGTTTGTAGTTGATGATAAGGAGAAAGAAGTTCAGCATATATGTGAAAAAACAAAGAATGCAAAATTCCTTCAGCACAAAGTACAGAATGTACGCCAGGTACAGGGACCCTATCACAGACACTATCGAGGAGGTCATGAGGATTAAAGCTGCAACTGCACTGGCTGTCATGCCTGCAAGAGAGAGAAAGCAGAACCAGAGTCAGAGATGCCCAACGGTGCCTCGGTCTCACGCCGAGGACGCAAGCTGCAGAGGTCACAGGCATCATGCTGTGGACGTGGGCGCCCAGTCAAAGAGTAACATTAGTTCTGTAGTCTGACATTTGAAATCGACACACAAAACCGACGAGGCCGATCAAATGTAGCTGCGTCTGCAGAGACCGTTCTTGCTTACACCAGTACCATTTGGAGCTGTCAGTATTCCAGGGAAAGGGACTTCAAGACTCCTGCTTTTCCCTATTCCCCAACCTCATGTTTTCAGATCCTTATATTCTCCCTCCCAAACAACAAAAAAGGGAATACTCGATCTTGGGTTAAGGAAAAGGCCTTTTAGAAGTGGCGTATTTTACTCAGCTCAGAATATGCTGAGATCTTTGCTGTGATTTCTCTCTTGCTGCGCTTTTAAAATATGCAAATCACTTAGTGAGAAAAATATTGAACTGGCAAGTGATCGGTCCATCCCACTAGGTCTCCGTGTCTATCGCATAAAACCCAATCACTTTCTCAGGGTGAGGACCTTCAGGAGCTCCTCTGCTAGGAATCCACAGACTTGCCTTAAAGTTTTAATGAGGTTCTTGAAGGCTAAGATGTTGGTATTAGCTGTACTACACACCTCATTCTTCATATACTAATATTGTTTTCATTTTTTTTCATTGAAGGACTGTTTCCAAAGGATATACACAGACAGCATCAATGCCCCCCCCCCAAAAAAGGGTCTCAAATATATTACAGGAAATATAATTCCTATAGAACTCTGGGAGGCAACCTACCATCTGGATAACTCTCTATCTATTACATAGGGGTATTCAACTTTAGACAAAGCACAACACAGGAAAATCCAAGGACAAATAAAGGGGGATTATTTAATGAAGTCACCATGGGACTCCCTAAAATAGAAAAGCATTTCAAATAGGATAGAAAGGGGGACTGAACCTGTGATTTCCCAGGGGAGGAAGCTGCCTCTCCCAGTGCAGTGATATCAGACCCTGATTGGCAACCTATCCTTTTGGACAGTCACACCTGGGGTCACTGTGAGGTTCAGACATTTGCCCACAGCCATACAGACAGGATACGTCAAAGCCGGGCTGGAGCCCAGATCTACCTGGCTGTGAGGCTAACTCTTTACCCACTCTACCACACTACCCCTCACATTTCAAATTTGACCAGATCTATACAAGCACATATTACACATCTTTTCCAGATCTCCCTCTACTTCCACTGAACCCCTTTTACATAAGGGGATGGAAAATTCCTGAGCAGAGCAGAGCTCAGGGATGGGGCATAAAATAGGAAGGAAGCAGAGAGCTGGGGGGGAAGGGAGGGGTGAAGAGACAGAAGAAAGACATACAATGGCACCAACATATTAGTGCCAACAACTGGCCTCAATCTCCTTTGGACGAACAAATCGAGGGCGAGCTGTTCGGTGTCACTGTCCTGTGCTATGAGATGACTGTGTCATCTTAGTATGTCCTCAATGACATTCATCCATTCCCTCGAACCTGTATATGAAGTGGTTTTGGGGGAGCCTGTAGGAAATCTATCTGTGGCAACCCAGAACTTGAGGTCTCAGCCACAGCATACATGCTCAAAGCTCCCAAATCCCGAGTCTACGCTCTCACCTCATATCACTTGGCAACTGTCATCCATCACAGGCACTTTTGATGCATTACAACATAAACATTAGAAGAGAGAGAAGGTATCTTACAGCTAGCTGGAAGCTTTCCTCAGTACCAGCTGCCTTGGGAGAAAGGCATCTCAGTATCAGCCAAGAGAAATCATGCCCGACTCATCCAGAGTTCTTCTGAGATGGTAAATAAGCACGGAGCCAAGCAGAAACCAGGTGGACGTAGCTGATGAAACTCACAAAAAGCGCTGAATAATGCTCAACACTTCATGGGTTTGGTTTTTTTTTTAAATGATCATAATTGGACGACAGGGGAGTATGCTGGAAATAGCAACAGCTTAAGAAGAAGATCAAAGTTCTGGTGCCAATTCTACTAAGTAACTTTGTGACCTTGGACAAAGTTGTATTTGTTTCTGGGCCTATTTTCCTCATCAGTAAAATGGGAGAGTGGGGCTAAATGACCTCTCATGTCCCCTGTAGCTCTAAAAATTCTATGCTTGCTAGGAATAAGAAACGAGTCTAAATCAAGAGCTACATTTCCAGATAAAGGAATGTGTAGAGCAGGATAACCAAAGGCTTGGTACGACTGGCACAAGAATTGCAACTACTGATCATCATGATGTATCAGGTGGAACAGGGAGTGTGAATGGAGAAATCTCTATGCTTATGGGCAATGAATCAGGGAACCCCAAGACAATAAAGATAGGCTGAAGACAAACTCCCACATTGTAGGTATGGGCATAAAAATAACAGATGCTCCAGGCTGAACAAGAAGAAGGTAGTGGGTTCTGGGAAAGACACATTTCAAAGGCAACGAATCCAGTATATCAGCAACACAGGAAAGGCACTTAGGTATCACCACAGTCTGCTGCCTTAAGAGATCTGTTCAGGTGCTGTGATGGCCGGTCAATTACCATAAAAGGGTCCCAAAAAACCCTCTCTACCTTTGTATACACTCATGGTGTGTCAGCATCTAAAATCCATGTAGTTCAGAACTACTTAAGAGACAGAATGGAAAACAAAAAAAATCTAGAAAAAGGCAGCTTACTAATAAAGGAGATGAAAGAGGCTATGGAGTGAGAATAAACTGGAAGGATTAGAACACTTCCTTCTGAAACGGAAAAATATTTAAGAAATCAGGATCAAAATCAGTAAAATCATGAAGGATGTGTATATGGGTAAACAGATTTTTTTCCCCAACAACTCTTGGAATACTTGATAATTAGAGGGCATCCAAGGAAGCTTTAAGGAGTTAGTTCTAGACCAAATAAATGGAAGTATTAATTGACACTGAAAATAGCAAATTCATAGAACTCATTTCCCTAAAAGAAGGGATAGGCTGATGAAATCATGGAGGTGAGATCCACAGTAGGTTAATAAGGGAAATAACAGCTGGATGGGGGTCTCATCAGATTCCCCAAGCTTGACTGGTCTCAGAAAACCATGGGATCAAAGACCTAAAGCTAGAAGGGGATCCTGGGAGGTCAGTGAGTCCAAGCCCCCCATTTTACAAACTATTCCTTGGTACCACCTGTCTACCCGCCAGATAGGGACTGCTAAATGAACCCTACTTCTGATCCAGTGTAGAAATTCTTGCATTTCTTGTACTCTTTCACTCCACACTACTGCCTCCCAAGAGCGTAGTACCTCCTTCTTCTTCTAGAAGGTATGAAGTGAAAGACAGTGGAGAGTAGTGGACAGAGAACTAGCTATGGGATCAGACATTCCTGGGTTGAAGTCTCGCCTCTGACACACACACGCTATGTTTCCCTGGACAAGTTACTTGTCTCAGTGTCGTCCTCTAATATTGCCCCTCTCCCCAGCAACTTTACCCTACAAGGTGACCAGGCTTTCTCCAGGACCTGACTGGCGGGGGGACAGAGGGTCAAGTTATATCTGCCTCAGTAATCTTAAGATTCCAACTTGTGAACAGCTGCCAATCTTTATTATTTAGAGGAAGCTTTCTAACTGAAGTTCTGAAATCACAGCTCCAGGAAAAAAACAAAACAAAACAAGACAAACAAAAGAACATAATATGGAACAGTGATTCTGTGTCCAATATGGTACCAGATGCATATTACAGTATAAGGCTTGATCTATATAAATCCTAAGGAATTTACAACCTAGTGAGCAAAAAATCTGAAAGTATAACATAAGTCCATTAAAAAAAAACTGAACAAAAGGAAACCGGCATAGAAAAGATATTCAACAAGGACATTCCAGCACTTGGTCTGAAGGGCCTGGAACTCCCCACAGGTGGGCTTTCTTATGTGCTGAGGTGACCAAGAAGCCACTGTCAACACAGCCAAAGACCACCAGGAAGCTGCTTCAAGGGAGGTGCAATCAAGTCCCAGGGAGACCATTATCACCTTACGGGGCAAAAGTAGCCTCATTTGTGCTGAAGAGGGAGAGATGAACCCTGGTAAATAATGGTCGTGGCATATACCAGCCCCTTGGTGGCGATATCCTAAGGATCTTATCTAGAGGGACCTTCCTTAACCTAAAATAACATAATTTCATACCAACCATATTATAAAGAAAACATCAACTAGAGAAAAAAAGATTCTGGATTTATGGTATCATTTATGGCATTAGGAAGATTTTCTATAACTTTAGAGAGGCTATCCTAGACATTAGAGTCGGAAAACCCTTAGTCTAAATATCTATGGGTTCAGCTACATTCATATTAGATGCTGGCTGAACCAATTCCGAGGTTTAACACTAACCACTGCCTTAATGTGTTGTGAACTGTGGGTTCTGTTATTAATACAACTCTGTTTATTAAATCAGACACTCCTTTTCATAGAACATAAAAGCAGATTTTTTTCTGGCCAAACATACCTCTGTTTCAACAATGGATTTCATGTGACTGATTAAACACTTACCAAGTAACAGCTGTAGTATATAAAATATAAGTCCAAAAACACTGTTTGGTTGGTTTATTGCACTGTCCTTTCCGAAGATGGACCCCAAAAGACCAAATCCTCGACCCCATCTGTAAAAGAAGGAACATCAGTAATAGTACATTTGAATCTCCACAAACTTTTAACCTAAAATAATCCCCAAACACACCATCCAATTAAAAAAAAAATCACATTCTCTGGTCATAAATGTTTGTCCATCAACTATTTAAAAAGAATGATTTACCCACAGTAGGAGAAACACTTTCTAAGTTTTGTGCCAAATAAATCAGTACGATATTAAAATAGAAGCACTAGTTTAAATCTCATCTTGAAAATTAACACACTTAATAACAATGATCTGCAGATACCCCTGGACAACCATGCTGACCTCACTAATTTCTGGAACTCATGCCAACTTTAGCATCTTTGGCCTTCTCACGGTAGGCCCTAAATAACTTCTTGATAGGGATGTCATTTCCATTATCAATATTGTTGATAACAATATTTTCTCCAGTTAAACTAACCAAGCTCATCCATGGTTGTACCCTGAAAACTGACAAACAGGTCAGACACAATGCATTTGTGGTTCTAAGATTTCCTCATTTTGTTCATGTCAACATGACGCCTATTAGAAACCAGGAAAGGCAGTACTGCAGAATGGCTAGCATGCTAGACTCGGGAGTCAGACCACCTGCCTCTGAAGATACCAGTTGTATGACTCTGGACAAGTCATTTTAACCTCTTTAAGCCTCCAGAGTTTTCTCATCTGTAAAATAAGAGGATTAGACCAGATGGCCTCTAAGGTGTCTTCCAGCTCTAAATTGATGATCCCTTTACAAAGAGAACAAGAACAGAAACTTCTGGGTTCCCAAGAGACAAAACATAAAAGACTCTACCTTTTTCTAAAGTGTAATTTTGAAAGACAAAAACACTATAGATTCATCATTCACCTAGACATTCATCATTTGTCGGGCAGTCTAACACTTATTTGAAGACTTGATTTTTAATATAGCACAACCTGACCTTAAACCTGACCTAACTTGATTCCATTTTTTTATTTTTGAAAAATAATCTTCAAACTCTAAAATGACTTTGAATAAAAGGACTCTGTTAACTGTAAGCCTCTTCGCAAAAAATCAATCAGAAAAGAGTATAAATCAGCAACCAAACACTTTAAAACCTAAAAGTTGATGTTAAAAAAAGGGACAATGTAGTATAGCAGAAGCAGTCCAGAACCTGGAAGCAGAGGACCAGAGTATCCCATTTATGTCACCGATTACTTTCTGGTCCTCAGTTTCCTCACATATAAAATGATGTGGCTAAACCAGATGATGATTCACTCAATCAACGAGCAAGAACTGATCAATTGGCTCTTCTGTGCCACACACTGGAGAAACATAAAAATGGGACAGGATTTGCCCTAAAGGAGATTAATGCTGTCCAAGGCTATTTCGGCCTCTCTTATGATAGACCCTCCAGAGTATTCTCTTTATTTGCAAATATGATGGTGTTGGGAGCCAGGCCTGACCCCCACCTGATAGTGTGGCCAGAATGCTGACAGTTTGCTCATAGGCATATCTTTAAAAGTCCCATTTTAGGGACTACAAGTTGATCTTCTGCCCAGGCAATCCATTGCCGATCCAGCACTGCCAGCCTGCAGGCCTCCCCAGGGTGATGGAAAACAACCAGGGAGGCTGCCAACAAGCATTGAGGGGAGAGACTGTTACTGCATACTTGGAGATCTCCTCTAAACCAGGTGGGAGGGCACCCATAAATAAAATTATTTCTGAACTTGCTGGAAACACGGCACCAACCTCTACTGTACCCACAATGAACACATGAAAAATTACTGCTTTAATGTGATTTTTGAAAGGCAGTGTGATGTAATGGATAGTCAGCAAGTTGTGGGGTCAAGCACCACCTTTGACAGGCACTGGCCCTATGACTTTGGGTAAGTCACTGAACCTTAGCCATGCTCTGTTGGATGCTGAAAAGATGCAACTGCATTACTCCTCATCCAGGAGCTCCCCAAGACACTAAAAGCACAGGTGTAGGGCCTATTCCTAATGCAATATAGATACCTGTATCTGCTTCAAAGTTCACGCTAACAAACACTGAAGGGCCTTCATGAACCAGAATAAACTGAAATGACAACTTAGAAATAAAAGAAATTCTTAAAAAGGAACTGGGACCTATTTCAGTTTCTGACTACTGAGTACAACTCAGGCTACCACTTAATGGCACCAAATGCTGCATTTTTTTCAAAAGTCCTTCCCTATACATGATCTCACTTGATCCTAATGACAATCTTGGGAGACAGGCAGAGCAGGCCTTATGTTGTCTGCTTGACATATGGGGAAACAAACCAGTGGAGAGACTTGATCCAGGTCTCACTGGAACCTGCAATTAGAATCTGGATCTCCTAATGCTGGGGCACACTGTAAGGGAGAGAGGGAGGTATGGATGGAAGAAAAAAGGGAGGGAGAGAGATGGGGGGGGACGAAGAAGAAGAGAGGGAAGACAGGAAAGCCTGACCTCCCTGAGAAAAAGAAAAGAGTGGGCGGAAAAAGAGAGAGAGAAGGGTGGGGAGGCCTGGGCCGGTGATTTCACTGCCTTAGGAAACTTCTTCCACCAAGGCAGGTCAGCCAGCACCATCCCTGCCACTGAGTGTATTGGGAGAGTTGCTTAGAGCACTCAGAGCACTGACTTGCACAGGGTCACAGTGCCAGCATTTGTCAAAGGCAAGACTTGAACCCATGGCTTCCTGGCTTCCAGACCCACACTTTATTGATTAGGATAAACTGCCTCTTTTACCACCACATTGGTACAAAAGGTCCTAAGAATCTTAGCAATTGCAAACAAGTTGATACATCGTTTATGTTTCTTACAAGGTGGAAAAGACAGTAGAATTATTCCGTGAAGGGTAGAATTAGGCTCCATGGGTGAAATGAGAGCAGCTAAGTGCAAAATGTAAGGAGTAGCTTCCTAAGCCTCAGCTGCCCCACAACAGTGCTGGAGCCTCAGCCGCAAAAATAACCCTACTAGTTAATAGCTGATATTTGCAAAACCCTTGACACACATCTTAAGGGAGCCTCACGCCACCACTTGGGCTCTTGTCCCCACTTTAGAAAGAAGGAAGCTGAGGGTCCCAGAGGTATTGTGACTTTCCCATGGGACTGAGTCAAACCCAAGTTTGTCTGACTGTCCATTCTGGCTACACTATCAGTGGGCTCCCTCCCCTACCCATGGTCCTTCTGCAAATCCCTCATAACCACTCCAAATGTTGGAGTCATCAGGCTGCAGAATCCAAGGTTTAGAAAGGAGTTGACTGAGAAGACCTTTAAAGTCCCTTCTAGGGCAGGATTCTATGAAATATATTAAATTCTAATATATTCAAACCAGATTAACCCATATGATACTATACTCAAAGCGGTGTAAAGCACATTTTCACAAATCCCATTTTAAGTGAACTAGGGAGAAGTTTGTGGCTTCATTCAATGTAATTCAACAGAGAATCTTCCATAGGAAAAACACTCTGCAATGGATCTGTTTTTTAAAACTGGGAGTGAGGGTAGCAGGGGCGGGGGGGGGGGGGTGTCTATACAGGGTTATCTTAAGACTATATACACCAGTGCAGGCAGATGTTCATTTCACTTCAATACAAGTGGAATCAATAAGATCTCTCACCTAAATTCGATCTTCCTCCAGTAACTTTTAAGTCTGAATCATGCAACACTTTCCCAGGGGAACGAAAGAAATGTTGCAGATATTTCTCTCCCCCTCTTCCCCCCCCGCCCCATTTTTGCCAACTTCTTTACCCAGGCATAAGACTAAAGGGGAAAGGCTATATGTTGCTGGTTCTACTGGCTAGGGGATGATTTTTCAAAACATGCATATTCGGTTTTGCCTTTTCTCCTACATCTTAACAGAAAAATTAAAAAGCTCAATTGGCCAACTTGGCTACATCCAAAATAACTTTGGTTATGTTATACTTTACATTCTTTGAAAAATAATTCACTTAATCTTAAGGATGCCTTTTGTTTTCATAGTACATTTATTTCCAAATATATCCTTCCCTCCCCTTCCACCCAGAAATGCATTTCTTGTAAGAGATTTTAAAAGAGAAAGGCAGTTCAGCAAAATTAACCAGCAGAATGATCATGTCCAACCACATATGAAATATTTCACACCCATAGTCTCCCACCTTTTCAATGAGAGGAAGGAGATTCATTTCCTCAGTATTTCTGAGGTAGTGTGGCCATGATAATTACACAATATTACACCGCATTGTTCTGCTCTTTCCATTGATATTGTGGTCATTGTGCAGAGTTTCCCTGGTTCTGCTGTCTTTACTGTAAATTAGTCTGTCCAGTCTCCCCTGCTTCTCTGAATTCTTCATAGACACCATTCATTCTCCCAGAACAAGTGTGTACCACACTATCTTTAGCCAAGCCTCCCCTAACAAGGGGCATCTATCTACTTTGTGTCCAGTTCTTTGCTACCACAAAAAGTGCCTCAATTAATGTTCTGGTATGTATAGGACTCTTCTCTTTCTGTCTTTGACCTTTCGGGGCACATACACCCAGCAGTGGGAATGGATGCCTAGGTCAAAAGGTATGGATGTTTTAGTCGTTTTTATTAAAAAGTACAATTCCACCCTTATTTTCCAAACATTCTTATATTCTTTTGGGGGGGGCAATTGGGGTTAAGTGACTTGCCCAAGGTCACACAGTGTCAAGTGTTTGGTCTGAGGCCACATTTGAACTCAGGTCCTCCTGACTTCTGGGCAGGTGCTCTATCCACTTCACCACCTAGCTGCCCCTCATTCTTATATTCTTAAAATACCAACCCTACTCAAACAAACTTAAGGTGAATGGCAGCTATACCCAAGAAGTTGTAACTGAACAAACTAAATTTGACCCTCTTTGCACCTTAAATTTTTTTTCATAACCAGCCCTTATGTCACCAAAAAGGAGGAAACGAGAGATGAATGACTACAACAAATGAATAAAAAAAATTTCTTTCCTCTAAATATGTGTTTAAATATTCAAATAAACATTAGTCCTCTGATCAGTGCAATAAACAAGCATTG